CCCAGTGATGAGGAAAGCAAGTCCTACGTTGCTGGGTACAGATGGAGTTGCTCATTTAACTTTGTTTGCTCTGAACTAGCTCAAGCGAAGACATCTGAGGTTGTATTAGGTCTTTCAGGCTGAGGCCAACCAGATTTCTCATCTGGTTGAGAAACCTTTGGGAGGGGGCAGAGACCCTTATGGTGTGTGTAGCAGGCTGTGTGTACCTGTGGTGTCTGTAGAAAGCAAAAAAAAAGATGAAGTCAAGAATATATGATGATACCATTTCTGCAGCATTGTGATCTAAATAAGTAAATGTGACAGAAACAGATGGACTATATTTTATTGGATAAACTTGTTCGTAAAAATAAGCAAAGCCTTGGGAGCATATGAGCTGTGGCCATGTTTGGGATTTTTTTCCAAGGAAAAATAACCATTGCTAGTAGATACTTTTATGTGAAATTATTTAAATTAAGGAATGTGTTCATATGTAGCTCTTGCATGACCACATTTGATAGACAGCATCATGAAATTTCTTGATGGCCTTATCTGAAAGACCAACTTGTCAGCCAGATCTGCGAGCCATGTACATTTTTCATTTTCTCTGCTAGAATGTTTCAACCAGTTAGAAAGTTTGCTTTAATGTTCCTGCCCTCCTTTAAAGATTTCCCAATTGTTTCAGCTTACTTCCAGTACTTTCTTTTTCCCTCCTCTCTGTACTAATTTGACACAATATTTCTTGCATATATTGGGGATTTTGGGCAGTGTGGGGATATGACAGTTAAGAATTTCTACTTTGAAACTCTTTTTGTGCATGATCTTTTGACAAGATTTCCCTTAGAGCTTCAGGTAATAATTGACAGAGATCTATTCAAAACTGAGATTTCATTATTATAAACATTCAACTGATTGTTTATTTACAAATGGATTGTGATTAGTGCATTACATCATCAACAGGAAACTGAGTACCAGGAAATATTTCAGCACAAAAAATTCAACTAGATTAAAAAAAAAAAAAAAAAATCAGCCAGATAATAAATAAATAGATAAATAAATAAATAGAAAGATGAGAGACATGGACATTCTTCACAAAACCTGTAATAGAGAAAATGCTGCAGTTCCATCCCTAGCTTATTCCGTAGGGAATTCCCCTGGGGCATGGGAGGTTCCTACTCCTTTCACTAATTGAGAAAATGCATTTGAATCAGTGTCATCTACAAGATGTCTTTTGCTTCTACCAGCATAGCATATTTTCACATTCTTGTTCAAGCTTTTTTTGTTTGGAAGAGAGGAGAAAGCATGACCAAAAAACTGTTGGTAAAAACCCTCCTGAGAACCAGAGGAATGTTATGTCAGTTGCTCCTTGAATTAATGCTTCATAACTTTCTACCTGTGATCTTTTGGAGTCATTATTCTATATGATGTACCCATATGATCGATATAGCATAAAATAATAGAAAGGCATAAAAGTGACAAAATGTCTGTTAAAATTCCTAAGTAAGCTTTTAAAGTATGCTTCAAAATTCTTAAAATACCAAATTTTAAGCTGTCTTTTATTTTTAAATATTTTAATTGGTAAGTTGGAAATTTTGAATACAAGACGGCTCGATATATGAATACAAGAATAATGTAAAGCAAAAGTGGACTATGAGTAAAATTAAAGCAGCTTTTACAAAGAGTTCATGAAAGAATTATGAGGGAAGTTTATGTATGTAAATCAAAATATATACATGCATAATTTGCCATCACAGCATTTGTCTAGTGGTGAGAGATTAATTCTAAATACATTTTTATTTGTCTTTCCAGAAATCTCAGATATTAAGTAAATTAGTAGAAAAAAAAAATCTTTTGCATTTAATTTATATGTGTTTGTGTTATTAATATCTTAAGGAAAAACTTATATTAATGAAACGAAAATATTTCTCTGCTAGTGAACATACTCCTAGATATCACAGCTTGCCGTTTCAAAATAACCGTGGCTTATATTACATGAGGTACATGATCACATGCCCTTTAGTGCTTTTCAGATTTGGTATTTGGCTTGTGTCTACTTTGGAACTCCTTTCGTGCATGATCTTTTGAGAAGATTTTCCTTAGTGCTTCAGCTACCTTGCAGCAATTCCTGGACGACTACTCAGAGAATTGTGGGGCAAATTCAATGCAGGGTAAAATTTGTTCGTCTGTGACAATTGCTAAAATTGCTATATGAGATTAAAACTGTAAAACAGATTATAATTAGCAAAGATACAAAATTTATCTCAAATTTGCAGAATGGAATAAAGTATGACAATCAGAAAGTTTTATCCTGTTTGAGTACTATTTTGTTTACATATGTGATTGCTGCATATTAATGGGACTGTGATTCAAGTAGACTAACTGAACACTTTCCGAACAACAAACTGAGTGTAAATAAGTATTTAAATTACTGTTGTCATTTTACCATGGTGTTTTGAATGTAGATCATTGATGGCTCAGCAGCTAACATAAAATGTCAAGATAATATAAATAACAAGTATAAAGAAAGCAATTTTGGAACTGAGTTATTTGATGTAATGAATTTTTAGAGTAAAAGAATTTTATTCAATGATCCACAGAGGGGCAGGTGGTCTTGATCTGGGTTCATTTTATGGCTGATTAGTGAAAGAATGTTGTTAAAGCCATTAAGCAATGTTCTTTGAATTTGCTAGATTTCTGTATAAAAATATTTTGACAATAATAATACAGAAGTATTATTTTCAGCCTGGAGAAGAGAAGGCTCCGGGGAGCCCTTAGAGCAGCCTTCCAGTAGCTGAAAGGGGCCTACAGGAAAGCTGGTGAGGGACTGTTTACAAGGGCAAGTAGTGACAGGACGAGGGGTAATGGCCTTAAGCTGAAGGAGGGTAGATTTAGATTAGAAATTAGGAAGAAATTCTTCACTGTGAGGATGGTGAGGCACTGGAACAGGTTGCCCAGAGAGGCTGTGGATGCCCCATCCCTGGAAGTGTTCAAGGCCAGGTTGGATGGGGCTTTGGGCAACGTGGTCTAGTGGAGGGTGGCCCTGCCCATGGCAGGGGGGGGTGAAACTAGATGGTCTTTGAGGTCCCTTCCAACCCAAAGCATACTATGCTTTTATAAGTGCTAATGAAAGCAAGCTTGGTTTTCTTTCAGATCTTGCTAGAAATACTCCATATATACATTGCTGTACACCCTACCATCTGAAGGACAAGTGCCTTTTAGGACTATTGTTCCTGTGTGATGCTCTTTGAGATCCATAACTTATTTAAAATGACAGTTACAGTGAAATACTTTGTCCCGATACTGCATCATATAAATTTAACCAATAAAGTTGCACCTAATCAAGAAAGTTCATGACAGGTTAGACTACTTTGGTTTTATTTTTTTTCATGTTATAGGTCAAAATCAAATCATTTTGGTTTTGCTTGTTCTTTTTGCCTGCTTTTTTGACATGAGATAATTGAATTTGTATGAAACCATTGCTTAGCCTATGCTGGAAAAGGTTAGTGTGACTATTATAATGAGGCAATGCCAGCAAGTCCTGCTAGTGAATGCACTTTTTTCCTAAAATCATTTATTTGCACTATAAATCATATTCCTGAGATCATATTCCAAATGCAATGTGAATTCTGGACTCTGGATTTATTATTTTTTTCTTTATAACTATATTCATACCAGGGCTTTCAGCAGCACACAAATTACTTCAGCAGAACTTGCTTCTAATGTAGACCTTACTAGTATGTTGACCAGACTTTCCGGTGTAGTGAATTTGTGATTTATTAGTGTTACTTCCTGTCAGCAGCATGGCTTATTTTGCAAATTAAATAGACTATGATGAAGTTTAAATGCTGTGTAAGTTTAGCTAAGATGTATGCATGAAGTTTCGTGCTTTTTAGGAGTAGTATTGTTGCAATTTGTACTTGAATAGTTACAATGTCAAACTAAAGCTATTTTGGTATAGTATTCTGCTCTTAATGCAAACGTTTACTTCTCTATGTGATGTTACCTTCTGGAATCCCTTGATATGAATGAATACTAATCTTTTGCAATTTTTTTCATAACTACACCTGTCTTATCAATCATGAAAATTATTGTGTTTTTTTTTTCTCTTCCTAGTTGCTTTTTTAATTTTTAAAATTATCTTTGTTTTAGAAATTCTTTAGAGTCCACATTACAAGATAATTAATGAATAATGTCACTTCTCTGTAAACAGCGCCTATCAAATGGCTCCATAGACTCAAACGATGAGGCCAGTCAAGTTGTTGAACTTCAGGAACTACTGGAAAAGCAAAACTACGAAATGGCACAAATGAAGGAGCGTTTGGCTGCACTGTCTTCCCGAGTGGGAGAGGTAGAGCAGGAAGCAGAGACTGCCAGAAAAGAGCTCATTAAAACGGAAGAAATGAACAGTAAATATCAGAGAGACATTAGAGAGGTAAGGAGTTCACCAGACTCACCTCCTATTTCTTGATTGCTGTTCCTGTGATACCCAATAAAAACTGATAGAAGCCAATGAGTACAGGAAAGCAAAAGCTGAGCACTGATGAAGGCCCTTGTACATAGGAAACGCAAAGTTTACTGTAAGAAATAGTACTAGAAATCTCTTCATAAAACTGTGTTCATAAAAGTGCATCTGTATATGCGCAACTCTAATAGGAGGAAGGCCAACACCTTTGTGTTTCAGCGTTACTAGAGTGCCATTTTTCAGCCATTTCAAGTTTTTGAGATGAACTCTGATAAATAGAGATGCTGGTCATGTAGGTAGTCTAAAGTACATTTTTAAAACTCCTGGGCTGTTCTATAAAATGGTGTGATTTATATAATCAATTATAATATTTACTCATGTGTGGTAATTTCATTTCTCCTGTTATAATATGCTATTCCCTTCTCTCAATAAGTGGAAATATAATTCAATTTTCCTTTTTTTTCCTCTTCTTAAATTTGTGGTGCTCCTTTGTACTCTCCAGAGTATCTTCTCTTATGTGGATGTTCTCAATATGTGTGGATGGTTGGCTCCTGGAATTTATTTTAGTATTTTGAAATTAGAGTAGTTATCTTTCTGTTACACTGCTTCCTATAACAGTATTTCATATGGATTTATGTGTGTGTGTGTGTATATATGCATATGTATCTATATATTTAACCTGTTATTTCTAGTTTTCTGGAAAAAAATGTTCCTTCAGAACTTCTGATGTCTGACAGCCTCAAAGCATCTTCACATCTTTGTACTCTGCCTCTTTTTTAAGTATTGTGTCATTCTTATCCAGTTACAGAAAATAGTTTGTACTGATATGTTCTTCCTTTTCCACCACTGCTACATTATATCACTAGGGGGCTCTAATACCACCGCTCTCATTTATCTGTTGACAAATATTACTGTTCCACGGACACTTGATTGCCACTTGCTCCTTCTCCCTTAAATACCACATTACACCAGCAACAGGTCGCTTGCTTTCAGCCCTTCAATTCCTAAGCAGAGTGGCCACCAAATATCAGCGCAAAATCTGCTGTGAAAGTTATTTGTAAAGGTGGAAGTGCCTGTCTTCATTATTTCATACAGCCACAAAAGATAGTCTTCCCAAACCAGAAAATTAAATACCTGACAACAAGAAGGGTAGTTTAGTATTATGTAACTTGGATAAATTATTGGATTTTTTTTCTGTGTGGTTTTTTGTAAAATGAATTACATACATAATTACTATTTTTATGGTGGTCTTTTTCCCAGCAATATGCAGAAGGATCACCTGGATATGGTCCACTTTAGGACTAGCTATTTGGATCAATTTATACATTCATTGTGTCTTACTTGAAAAATAATCTCACTTACTTCAACACTGCTTTCACAATGTAATATAATGCAAACAGCAAGACATGCTCATCAGTAAATACTTTCATTGTAAAGGATTATGTGGCAACATGTAAGTCTTCTCAAGAGTTTAAAACTAGTTTAAAACTAATACAATTTTCTGCTTTCCTAAAATTGATTGAAGATAAATAAACAATGTAATAGACATACTAATGAATAATCTATCTGAATTACAGCTATTGAATTTAGTGAGGCCGGCTTGTAATACATGAACAGATACAGCTCAAGATTTTAAAGAAATCCTTATCTGTAACGGATATGGATCACATACCCATATGTTACGGTTCTGTTATCTATCCAGCATTGTGGACACTTGTTTTCCTGAAATTTCAGGACATGTCACCTGCTGTTTGCTACATGTCCTTCAGCAGAAAATTTTAGCAGGACCTAGGAATGAGAGTAGCAATGTGCATATACATTTTTTTTCCCCACATCACTGCACTATGTTTTCTATTATTACGTAACTATAGCAGTCTTTCTGTTTTCTAATCAAGCCCACTGTTGTTTAAGAAGCAAACATGTAAAGGTGAGCTGCCTTTGCTGGTTTTTTGCATTGAAAATATAGAAATTAGAAAAATATACAAAAGGTGAGGATTGTTTCTGTTTGCTCTACTCAACAGCTAACACTTTAAATATCATATTACAAGAAATCCCAAAGGAAATAAATTCTCTTTAAAACAGAAAAATTACTGCTGAGCACATCTTACATCCCTGTGTACTGTTAGCATTAAAATTAAACTGATAGAAAATTATGTAACATTTTAATTGCATGGTTCTTGATGGGGTTTTTGTCACATTAGGCAATGGCACAAAAGGAAGATATGGAAGAAAGAATAACTACGCTGGAGAAGCGCTACCTCAGTGCACAGAGAGAATCCACCTCCATACATGACATGAACGATAAGCTGGAAAACGAACTGGCAAACAAGGAAGCCATCCTACGTCAGGTGCAGTATCTGCATTAGTCAGTTGATTTCTTCATACACAATGAAAATTAATGCAAGAAAGGGGGCAGATCTACTGTAGGAGGTTGCCATTAGGTTAATCTGTTCATTTTTAATCAACAGATCAGTTAATCCAAAAAACCCCAAGTTGTTCAGCATCTCTAAACTTCATGTCACCTACTACAACTGTGAATACCAAAGCAATGTGTATGTTCAACACTGTAAAACAGCTGTGTTTTCTAATAGTATATTGCATAAATTAACATCATCATATCCCCAAAGTAAAGGATTATCTTTGCTTCTTCTGTAACAATTTTCTGAATTTTATTTTTAAAGCTCAATGATCTTTGAATATCTTTTCTAAAAGAGTAAAACATGATTGTGCAGTTTTCTCTCATGGTACTTTGTTTCCACGGTGATTCCAAGAGCTGAAGTGTAACGTGAACAGAAAAAAAATGGTATGTAACTTCAAGAATACAATGTAAACTGAAAGCTAACATAAAATGAATATCATTCAAATCATAAAAGATGAAATTGGTCCTCAGCCTCAGTATCAGAATTCTGTATTTCTTTTCACCTATCGTGTCTTCAAACAATATAAAATGCTATATGGGAAATAAGCCTGTATGATCTGATAATGTCTGCTTCTATGATTGTATGCAGATACGTTTACATACACATGCACACATCCCTCTGTATGTGTGTGTATATATATATACACGTGACTACCTCTTCAAGGAAATTAAAGCATCAGGACTCAGACTCTCCGGCTTCTGCCAGCTTCCTTTGGCTATTTTAAGAGGTATCTTCAGTTGTTAGCCGGGGAAAAAAAAAAAACCCAACAATGGAAAAGTAAGGTACCTGCATCTGTCCTTCGAGTTTTTATTGCTGCCAATGTAAGTCATGCCGTGCTGCAGAGGTCTCCCACTCAAAGCAGTGAGCAATAGAACTAGGCTTAGAATATATACAGGCGGACTTAAAGCTGCTTTGCAGCATTGCGATGTGTAAAGCCTACCTTTTCATGCTTTTGAAGGATTAAAAAAGAATCTAAAAGCACACGCCTTTTTCATTATGTCTTCTATTACCTGGAATGAATGGGAGAGCAGGAAACACTTGTCAAGCTGTGAAAAACTTCTTAATCATGTGGTGCATGTCAGTAGGCAGGAAAATACTGCAGTTATCAAAAGTTTTCCTGTTTCTCTTTAATGGTTATCACAGATTAATCAGTTTCACTGCTGTAAAATGAGACTTAATTGTAGGTTCACAATGAAAAATATAACTGTAAACTTAAGCAAATAGCAACCAGGATATGATCATGAATGAATTAGTTGGGCAACAATTGTCAGTTTTAACATTTCCTGATATATGATTGGCATTTGTTCAGAAAATTGCATTTGGCAATTTATGAATAAACTTTGCTGAGAATTCTATCATTTTGGAATTGTCCTTCTGTCCCATTTTAGCTCATACATAAACTTTTCTGTGATATGGGTTCAATATTTCCATTTAGAAAATTCTCATTTTACTAGAACTAATACTTTTATTTTGCTCAGATAAACAGCACATTGATCAGAGGAGCTTTTGGTTCATCTTCATTAGTACCATTTTACAACTCCTTTTCTTCACCTTCACGTGATTCTTGAGCCTCAAATCACTCATCATCAGTGAGACTGGCAGCCTACACAGTTCCGTGCTTGAGTTAATACCTTTCACTGAGCTCTCCCAGGTTGTGGAGTATCTATGCTTACGTAGTGAGTTTTGATCGCTTCCCTGATGTCTAAGAAATTGAAGGAAAATCTAATTCCGATTTTATTTTTTATACCTGTTTATCTATCTTTGGCCTTCAGTTGGAAGACAAAAACAGACAGCTGCAAGAGCGTCTGGAGCTGGCTGAGCAGAAGCTGCAGCAGACGATGAGGAAGGCTGAAACCTTACCCGAAGTGGAGGCTGAGCTGGCTCAGAGAATTGCAGCTCTGACTAAGGTACTACCCTGAGAAATAGGTTCACTGCAGAAGCCCCACTGTTTAACGCTGATTTCCGTCCTGATTCCTCACCTCAAGGACAAAACAAAAGTAGTGTCAAGCTGATCTGAAAGGAGGAAACGTTTCCCGATAAATATGTGCCACAAGTTTAACCAGGAATGGTCTCAATGACGTGTTTTGTAATTCTTAGGATTTTGGTAATAGGAAAAGTAGTTATATGAAAGTTAGCCTAGACTATATTGATAAAGGAGTCATATATTTCTAACATGTCAGCATTACTTATCCAGGGAGGAGGATTCATTTTACTGTGTAAGGGTTTCTAATTTAAGGGGAGAGGGGAAGTCCCATTCCTAAACATACTTAGTTCTTCTGGACGTTTTCATACACCATGTATATGAAACAAGAATTATTTTCATTCCAATAAGTGCTATAAAATCATATCTTAAGGGCAGCTGGGATCATTTGTACAACACAAATGAAGACAACTTGCAGTACATACTTACAAGGTTTGTTTTGAATGAGTCTTTGTATCACCTATTTGCAAAAACAAATGTGAAACCCTGAGAGGACTTCAAACTGGGTTTTTTTCTGATGAATTTATTAAATGGCAGCTTTCTTGCAGAAAAAATAAGAAGATAAAAATAAATTTTCAGCAGTGTGGTTTTCATATTTGGCCTCTAATACTTTCAGATGTGCACGTAGTTAGTACTACAGCCCAGGTATTATCAGCTTCATAAAGACATATAATGATAATATGTTTATTCTTAATCTCTTAAAATCAGACAAATAAAGAAAAATTCATTTAAGAGGCTGTATTACATATCATTCTGATTTATCTCAGCTTTCCTTTCTCTATTGCCAAGGAATGATTCTAGCTATTTATGTGCCTAGCCGTTTTTATATTTGATGGATTTTTTTTCAATTCTCATGTTTTTTCCATTTATAGTGAAGCCTTAAGTGCTGAGCAGCTCACTAATGAAGTCCAATTTTTAAGTAATTTAGTTAAGTAGAAAGGAAGAGAAGCTTTGGGGGTATTTGATGGTTGAGGTTTTTTGGGGTTTTGGTTTTTTAATTTTATTAAGAGAAGATCATTATTCAGTAATCAAGATTTTGTGCTGTCCACTTCAGGCTTATATGAATGGGTGGGAATTTGAAACAGTGACTGAAAATGGTGGGAAAAAAAGAAGAATCAGCAAAAAAGAGAGCTACATGAAATACCAAACAAATATTATTGCATTTTAATAAAAACTCAGGTGCACATAAGAGCAACCCCTTGGCATTTTAACTTTTTTTTTCAGATGTTTCTGATTCAACAAATAATCACATATTGTAATGCCCTCAGTAGCTTAAAAATATTGTTTTCTATTTTAAGAGGTTTTTTCCTGAATAATTTCTCCAGCAATTAGGCACCAGTAAGTATTTTGCAGTCTCAAGCATGTCTTTTCTTGCAACTGCATTTTTCCTTGAGCACATATTAATGACAAATATTGTAAGAAGAAATCCCATTTCAACCATGCAGAGCACTCAGGGACTTCCATGAGATACTGTTGTTATTGTGACCATAAAGCTGCAGTATACATCTCCGTTTGTCGTCTTACATTATTTCATTGGATGCGTTTAGAGAGCTGTGAACAGAGCTGATGCTCCACACCGTTTCACTTTGATGTACTTTATCGAAGCTTTTGCCAAGCAGGAAACTGTAAGAAGTCTATTAGACTGTAATGTCAGTTCTGTTCATTTCTCTGTAATTACAAGAAAACTGAAGAAATTAATTTTATTTAAAATTATGTCTTTTTGGAATACATGACATGAAGAAGAATATCAGAATTTGACCAATAGGCCAAATAAGCCTATGTTTTATATATCCTGTATACAACATCTATGCAAACTGTAGAGCTTATTAAAGTGCTGGTTTGACAGCTCTGAAGTTTAAAGTCCAGTACTTTTCATGGATCAAATAAACGTAGCTCAGAACCAAGGACGACGTTGTAGTCACTGCAGCTTACTTGAGTGGTTTTAAATTAGCTAGCTGGTATACTGTTACCACACTAGCTATTCAATGAAAGCTGCAAGACCTACCTAAGGGGCTGAATAATGCTTAATTACCTTTGCCTTTGTTGAGCTTTGTGCCAGCATACACATTGTCAGGAGGGCTCAAATTAGCTGGCTTCGACTACCTTAAGTCTGCCAACCTGAGCTATGGTCACTGCAATGTCCATGTATACTACGTAAAAAAGAGCCCCCTGAATCAGCTAGTCTTTCTGTTCTGCAAAAAAAGTCAAAACTGATTCTCCTTTCTTTTGTACTACCTTTATGAAAGTGGCTTCTCTGAGATTAATGGGGTTACAATCATATGAAAGAGGTGAGTTAAGCCTAATATTTTACATGTTTGCTAAAGGAAAGTAGTATGGGGTAACTAGAAATGATGACTGCTTCACTGTGGGTAAAATAGGTCCAATTATTTACATGTGGAAACAGAATAAACATGTTCTGGATTTGGATGTGATTTTCCTCCCCCCCCCCCAGTTTAAAATATGCATGTTACAATTCTGCATTCAAGTTATTTTACTCTTCCTCATATTAAATCTGGGTTGGGATTCTGCAAAAGAAGGATGTAGAATGAGATCCTTCTGTGATGTCAGTTTTTAAAACAAGTTGTTTTTCTTTTTTTATATATATGGGCTAGTGAATGTCTTTTGCTACTTTTCCATGCCCAAACTAGTTCATAAGGAGTGAACTTCCAAAAGTTTGGACTGTACAGTGAACTCAGATAAGTACCCATAAATTTACCTGAATCATTTGAACTTTTCTTTGGCTTTGTTTTCACTGTGTTCTGCCCATTGGGTGAGCAACTGGAGGGTTAGTCTGCCGGAGGCAGACTAACCTGGAACAGCATGATCCCATGTACTGTGCTGTCCTGCCTGGCCGTCGCACTGGTATCTGTCTGGTCATGACAAGTAGCACAGCTCTCGGCATGTATTCCAAGATTTAAATTGCCATGACTCATTGAGCCACCTTGTACTTACTCTCACAGTATTGGTCTGTTTGCCTGCCCTGCACAAGAGGCAGTTGGTAGTAGAAAGAACCTCCCTCAAATATTAACTAAACCTTTCTTTATCCTGTAAGATGTTTGTTTTCCTCAGAAGAGACAGATATTGGAGCATCTAGAATCTTCAGATTGTTAGTCTGTCAAACATGGTTTCTCCTTGCATGTATTCAAGGAGGGGTCTAGTGGAGACAACCAGCATCCACCTACTTCCATTCACTCACTCCCACTAGTAGTCACTCTGCCCCTTGGGTGCTTGTGCAACAGAGGTACCATGTCACTTCTCTGATCACAAGACAGCAGTCAGCATTTTACTCCATCATTCCTGTATGCAGGTCACCAGAAATACCAACAGTGCTTTTTAGCTGCATTAGAGAAGCATTGACATGGAGAAGAGGAAACCATTATCATAATAAACCACATTTAGCATAGTAACACATTCAGCTTATTTTAAAGGTGATAAAAAATGACTTGAAAGTTGGAGGCACGTGGGACACAATGCTTATTTTGTGACAATGTGGGGATTTGGTTTGCATTAAGTAGGGAAGAAGTTGCAAGAAAGTGAAAGGAGAAAGTCTGCAGTGGAAAGGATGCAAAGAGGGGAAAGAAGTTCTCCTGCAAGAAGTGGATGTGGTTAAGGCAGAAAACTCTCTGATAACAGGAGAGAGAGAGAAGATGATGTGTTAGCTGGAAAAGGAAGTTGATAAATTTTCTGGGAGGAAAAAAAAAAAAAGAAAAAAGAAAAAAAAAGATAAAAACTTCTGTGGGGATGGGAGCCTAAGAAAACTCCACATTTGCAACACATTAGTCTCCTCAAACCACCCCTCTTTTTGTGCTTCCCTTTCACAGAAGATTTTGTCCAGATAGGAGGAAGAAATGAAAGAAAGAAGTTTGACAGAGCTAAATGGAAGGAGTTGCTTACTAAAACTAGGAAGTGGAGAAGGTAGTTGGGGAATGAAGAAGGGGCAGGAATGTGTGGATATCTAGTTACTGAAAGGTTGGGTTTCAGAAAAAGAGGTGACTTAAGCCATTTTGTCACACTTGAGTTAGAAATGAGCATGTGAACAAGTAGCTGATAACTGTGAGCTGTTGTGACTCAGCCACCATGATCGCCTATTTTCACTTTCAGTTGCATACCTCAATTCAATAATGCCTTCTTTCTTCTTGAATAACTCATTCAAAGGATAGCCAAAAGAATGTGTGCAATAAGAAGCCATTAGAAATCTGGAGACAGCAGGTGTTCCAAAGTCAAGGTCTCAGAACTGTGGAAACTGGCTTGTACCAAGGAAGAAAAATTATAGCACCTGTACTGTACAGGTGCTTTCTGCATCTGAAATTGGATATTTTATTTTTTTTCAACTAAGATGGAAAGACCTAGAAAATGTGCAGTGCCAACAGTAACAGATGATGTGAAAGCAACATTTTTTTTGTGGGCGCATTAGCAGCAGGAGCAGCAGCAGAGTTTTAACAGGGTTAGAGAGCAATAATACAAGCTGCTTTGGGACTCCCTCAAAGCAAAATTTTCCTCTCTATTACTGGCTTATACTGGCTATTTCTTTGCTATTTCATTGCATATAGAGTGCAAAGTGAGCATTAAGACTCATGCTGGTATCTCATAGGGGTCAGACATTGTTAGTTTTTGTCCATATATTTTTAATCCAGTCAAAAATGCACAATTTCACAAATCTATTTATAACTGAACGTGCTGGCTAAATGCTTTAAATGCTAGTTGCTGAATACCACACTATGTGTCTTACTAATCCTCCTGTACAGAGTACTGGTGAACAGGCACACAAGTCATATATTAAAAAGAATGGTCTGCCAAGCAAGTAGTCACGCAAGTTCCACTTTAGGAAGTTTTTAACTCAGTTAACTCTTAGCAAAGCAAGTCAGAAGAAATCCAACTTCTGTTTATGTCCCTTCCGTCTCATGTGTATCTGAAATTCTGCTGGGGGAAGCTGACTAACACTGGTGTCAACCTCTGCCTTGTGCCTCAAACCACATTAATGTCTCAGTTATAAAAATAATTGGTTCTTTTAGAGTGACACAGAATAACACTTTAGGAAAAAACAAATGAAATGCAAATAGATAAAGGAAACATAAAGTATTCAAATACATTTTAAGTGTTTACAATAATGACATTTCTTCTGATTCTAAGGCATATTCAATTTTAAATAATTTTAAAGGCTCTTTATCCTACCAAAGAGATGTAAAGGGAGATGAATGTGGAGATCAGCTCTGTTTTCTTTTATGCTGGAAAACAAAGTACAGGTACTCTGTGAGTACCTGAATGTGAGCCACATTCAGGAAGGCTTTTTAACAAGCATGTATCCATCAACATTTTAATATACTTTGTGAAATACTGAAAACTATCGTGCAAAAAGGGTTATATATATCTTAAACATATATCTTACTGAATTATTAAAGCAGGAAGTTATGAAATAGCAGAATTAGATAGCTATAAGAATCTTGAGAGAACATCATATTCTTTCAAGGATGTTTTCTATATAAGAATTCAGATAACATATAATTCAGACAATAATTTTATTCCTCCTCCTCTTCCAAATAATAGTTAGGCCTAACACCACAATTATTTTATGCATTGAAAAGACTTTACTGCTGAGGAATAAAGTATGACATAGTTTGGACTGAAAATCTATTTTTTAGTTTGAAAAATAAATGTCAATCATATAGCCAGGTAGATGGGCTTCTCAAGGACAGGTTATAACACACAGCACCACATATCAGAAGACTTAAATGAGATCCCCTTTGAACCTAGAAGTATTAGTTTGGTTATCTTCATATTTTGCATTAATCTGCAATATTAAGTGTATAGAAGCAGTGAAGATTAAGTATCTTGCCTTAAAAGTGTGCAGTCAGCTAATGAAGTTTCTAAGTAGTTTACTTTTGTAGGATGATACCCCCAATAGGTTCTACATCTCCATGAAAATGGTTTCAAAGGAGGTAGAATTTCTTAAGCCTTTACCATCATCAGCTCATAGCTTTGACGATTTCAAATCTTCACCTGACCCTTAGAGACACATTAAGGGAAGGCCTAGAACCAAGAGTGCAGCCAAGACTCAAAAAGGTGAAAAGTCTGTCTTCTGCAGAGGAGGATGAAGCTTGGTCTCTTTATGAAAGTGATAGCAGGGTCTGGTTTTCTGCAATCACAAGGACTGAACTTTTTCAATCCTTTCTATTTATCCAGTTGGGAGAGGAAGCAGTGCATTAGGAATTGTGTGCTGAAACAAACTAATATGTAAACCTGAAAGACCAGATAAAGAAAGTCGTAAAGGGATTGTTACTGGTCCAAGTTGTAATAAATGGACAAAATAGTTTCAGATAATAAGTTCAAATACATACAATACTCCTGCTTCATGATCAGAAATAATAAGTGCACTTATTAAATGAGCTTAGTTACATAGTATACTGACTGTTCCTTAAATTTTGCAAGAATCTGAGTTTTGTGAATATACTTACTCTGAAAAGAATAGTAGTCATCTTCAAAGTTAAGCATTATTCTTGTATTTATACAAAGCAGGATTTTCTCATATGAATGTCTTCATGTCAAAAGCTGCAGTTTATCTTTATAAATCTCAGATCACAAGCTTGTTTTCTGTCTGATCTTTTGGTCCTGATAATACTACTGAGTTTAAGTTATAGGTAATTTTACGTTATGATATACATCCTGAATTACTTTGGTATATATTTCTAATTATTCTGATAAATCATTAGTAGACAACAGCATGAAAAACAGTCTTACTAAAAAAATACAGTTGAAAAATTAGTATTTCTTTTACGTATTAAAGTTTGCTCATCTAAAGATGCAGTTCAGGATCTTTTTTTGAGAGAGGGTAAATCTGCCAGAATGAAATAGCATTTGACAAGCGCAAGCTCACAACTCAAAGTCATCAGTAGCGCTGTCTATACACCTTATGCACATTCCTGTTTCCATAGCAACAAATCCAATATAGCATTTCCCTTTCTTTAAGGGCTTTTTTTTCATTTTGAATGATAACTTAGATTTGTTTGATATGACAATAACATGAATATTCATGTTTTGCAAAAATGACCTAATTAAGGTCAACTTCTGTCAGAAATAGTAATGAATCTTTGGATGGATAACCATTTCTGTACTCAGTAATAACTTTTCATTCCTATTAATGAATTTTTATTTATAGGTTCTTCTTTTATCTGATGACCTTGATCTTCCAAAGAGATCCATCAGGGTGGATCCTTTCAAAGGGATGAAAACTATATTGTTTATTTGAATGAAAGGGCTTACGTAGTGTATTCTAAAATGGAATACTAAAGCTTGAGCCTTGTCTCTTTTGATGTTCTTTCTGTTTTCTAGAAATTAGGGAATGTACCATAACATTGCACAGTTCTGTAACTGATCGATCCATTAATTTAGTATTTATGCATTGTTTTCATTCCTAGAAAATGATAGAAGAATTATAAAGGACTTTCTGACATTGGCCTCGTAGAGTCCTGTTCTGGTGTTTAGTTTGCCATAATTCAAAAAAAAAAAAATCATTAGATTAGACAGTGTTGCTTTGAATCCACTCTGTAGTAATATGTCATCAGCCAGCCATCACTAACCTTGAACTTCCATGTGTAGGTTGATAGCTTTTTTAGCATTCCATTATTTTCAGTTTCTCCACATCAACTGCATCATATTCACCAAGTATCAGTGTAGTTTATTCCACGTAAAAATCTGTCAGTTAAAAGTATTAAATTTTCAGTCACACTTTTCTTTTAAGCATTCTGTGCTGTGTTCTGTTCAGTGTCAGTGTCTTTAGTTCTGATTTTTCAATTTTGTCCCTCTCCTTTTCCTTGACTTGTTAGTCTGATCCAACCTCTTCTACCTCATCTGATGATTATCAATATGTTATGGAAGCTAAACTACAAGAAATGATCTCCATACGTAGGAAGGTAGTCCTACTGGACTTTACTTTCTATTGCTAAATAGAATCCATCTGATTTGTTTTCATTTTCTTTAACTTATTTTATTTTTTTTTTTTATTGATAATCAACCATCGTGCAGTTCAGTGCTTCAGGAGCTTACGATTTTACGATGGCAGGTTTGTGTTCAAACCATGCACAGTCTGCATGTTACATTTGGCTGATTTCATTGCTCATAAATAACTCCAATGTTTTGCTGATGCTTGGATGTAACAGGCCTTTGTAGCTGACACATTTCAAGCAATGCTGTTCAGCTGCCTGTTTAAATAAAGTTTCTTTTCGGAAAACTAAGTTTGCAGTTAGTAGTAGCTTGCTTTATGTTTTGTTTAAACTTTACTGAGATAAAAACTTACGAAGCCACTTAAATTACAGAAAGAGTCTTTCTATTTTTTTTACAGGCAGAAGAAAGACATGGAAATATTGAGGAACGTATGAGGCACTTAGAAGCTCAACTTGAAGAGAAGAATCAGGAACTTCAAAGAGTACGTGTGTTGCAGACAACTTCTGTGTACTTTTCTTTTAATTTGTTGATCTAGTGCTACATTATGTGCTCCAGCACACGAATCTATCTACTGATAAATGTTTTGTTCATAGCAGTGATGGTAGCATCTTCCCACCCAGGACACCACTTAACCATCTTAATATACTAGTTTACATCTAGTTGCAGCTTTCAGTGTATTCTGCTGATGCAAAAATGAATGTGCATTAATCAGTAACTGTAATTACCTTTCCCATAGAATTTCTTTAAATGGCTACAGTTACCATATTTTTTTTTTTTTTTTTAGTTTTTAATGATACAAGTCTGTACTGGTTAATTTTGGACCCTACCAATCTGTCTCTTCTATTCTACATTAAAGGCAAGGCAAAGGGAAAAAATGAATGAGGAGCACAACAAAAGATTATCGGATACCGTAGACAGACTTTTGACAGAATCCAATGAGCGTCTGCAGCTACACTTGAAAGAGAGAATGGCAGCACTTGAAGAAAAGGTAGAGTGCAAAGAGCAGTATAAACTTCGGCTTGATAAAGATTTTTCTATATGAAACCTGTTCTGCTTTTGTCATGCATCATGCTGGTTTTCTGTTACCAAATATTACCACAAATATGGTCTTATACATTCAACTCCTACTTCAAGAGTGTGTTTAAGAATCATTCCAGAACTAATGTGAACTACATATGCTGAAGATTATGAGTCCCTGTTTTATCAGTGGTGAGTCTGATGAAGTGCACGACTCGGTATGAGGCAGAGAGAAAGTGGACAAGAACTGAGGAATGGCCACGTTTCAGATGTGCTGTCATTGCCATATTTTAACCTGCTGATTTTACCTCATTTCCTCTGGGAAGAGTAAAATGCTGTCACCACAGGAGAAGGAGCATCTACCCTTGAAGAGGGAATGTTATTTACAGGTTTTCTGCAATGTGAGACACAATGGGGTTGCAAAGTTCAAAATCCATGACCTTTTTATTCACCCTCCTTAATCCTTCCCTCTTCTACGTATTCACCTTCAGTTTGATCTGAGGGGAATCTTTCAGTATTTTTCAGAAGGGTAATTCAGAACCTCTCAGAGGATGTACTTCTGGTTTCTGTCATTGAAACAAAATATCATACAAGGGAAGAAATAGGCCTGCCAAAAAGAAGAACCTGGGAGAAATAGTTGTAACAGTGTCATAGTTGCTCAGTTCAAGGAAAATGCAAAGTTTTTGCTGTTCCTGAAAGAACATGGTCCTACATGTTTGGATTACTTCGAGTGTTTTAGATGTAATATATACTCAAACTGAAGCGTTAAGGGATTTTAATTTTAAAGTCTGGTGAATATGATCTTTGCTAACTTGTACATGGAGGCTACATGTATATCGTGATAGCTGAATACTGAACATTTCTCTAATTTCTTTCTTTTTTGTCTATATTTATTTTTTTCTTTTAATTTCTAGAATGTATTGATTCAAGAATCTGAAAGTTTCAGGAAAAATCTGGAAGAGTCTTTACATGACAAGGTACTATACTGCAATTTTATCTATTTTTATCAAAAGTTTCACATTTATTATTAGGAAATATGTACATGGTATATTAATTATCCAACTAGCATGTGAAATCTTCCTGGCATCAATGATCATTCTTTTAATCACCTAGATGTTTTAACTAGCCTTTGGGGGTCTAGTTAAGTTTATGGTTGAGATCCTAGCCTCAGGAAGGCAATACTAAAATTCATATTGATTTCACTGGCTCTGGAATTTTTGTTCTATCAGTTTTAATTCTGAAAAACTCTTGTTTAACAGAGATGTATGCATAAGTGGTTACATTTTCATAGTGAAGAATGTAACTGCTTGATTTCATGCAATGCTTCTTAACAGGTGCAGTGGCATTATACTAAATATAGTTGCAAGTGGCCTTTCTTAGTTCATTGCAAATTAACCCCTAATACTGTTTAGTGAATCAGTCAAATTACTTATAAATATTTATTCCAATCCCAAATATTAGGATTTTGTTTTGAAGTTATGCTTGCCTTGACCACAGTAGGATACACAAATGTATCTGCCTTTGGATTCAAAGAAGTGGTTTCGTAATGTATCAAATCCATTTAAAAGAGATTGCATAAAATTTTAAAAACATAGCTCCATTCAGTACTAATATAATTATATCATATGACATCCAAAATCAAGAACTTTGAGAAAAATAACAGAAGAAGTATCTGTTCAAATTGTTATTTTCATCTACATTTGGATAACCTTGTAGAAAGGCAGAGATTAAAGCCCAAAAAAAGAACATGTAGTGCATTTTAAATAAATAAAATTTCCCTGCTGTACTACCACAGTTATAAGGTGATTCAGCTGTCACAAAATCAGGATCATGCTTCACCATCAAGTTAGATGACGAAAAGGACATTTCTAAAGCTGTGTCAATTGAAACAAAAGTTTCTATCATTTTGCTACCAGAGAATCTAAACCTGAATTATGGATAGCAATTCTGTCTGTGTAAATAAGGTATTTTGCCAACGTTATCTCCAACATAGCTTCGTTGTTTTAACAGTGTTAGAGTGGTAGTGAATACAGTGGCTAATTCTTTTTCAGTGTATTTTCTGGCTTGAATGTTCACAGCGACTCTTGACAAAGATGAAAAATCTGGTGTCAAAATCTACATTTGTATTGAAAGTATGTTTGCAAAGACATTTTTATTTATTATATTTATTAATTCTTGCTTAAAGATGGGAAGTGAAACAACAGAATCACAGAATCACAGAACAGCAGGGGTTGGAAGGGACCTCTGGAGATCATCTAGTCCAACCCCCCTGCTAAAGCTGAATCACCTAGAGCACGTTGCACAGGATCGCGTCCAGGCGGGTTTTGAATATCTCCAGAGAAGGAGACTCCACAACCTCTCTGGGCAGCCTGTTCCTGTGCTCGGTCACCCTCAGAGTAAAGAAGTTTTTCCTCATGTTCAGATGGAACTTCCTGTGTTCCAGTTTGTGCCCATTGCCCCTTGTCCTGTCACTGGGCACCATCGAGAAGAGTCTGGCCCCATCCTCTTGACACCTGCCCTTTAGATATTTATAAGCATTGATGAGAGCCCCTCTCAGTCTTCTCCAGGCTAAAGAGACCCAGCTCTCTCAGCCTTTCCTCATACAAGAGGTGCTCCAGTCCCCTCGTCATCCTTGTAGCCCTCTGATGGACTTTCTGCAGTAGTTCCCTGTCTTTCTTAAGCTGGAGAGCCCAGAACTGGACACAGAACTCCAGATGTGGCCTCACCAGGGCAGAGCAGAGGGAGAGGAGAACCTCCCTCAGCCTGCTGGCCACACTCTTCTTAATGCACCCAAGGATACTCCACTACCACTCTGTGCAATGGATGGAGATGAGTTCTCTTCACACACAACCACACAGGTCTGACTCCAGAGCTTCTAAATTTCCACTTTGAAGGGTTTATTTGTTCCACTTTGATGAAGAAACTGATGAAGCAATTGCAGATGCATGGACTTAACACCAGATATTAATAGTCTCTAAATAACTGGCAAATCATACAAGTAGAGTAACCACCAAGTCATCTATTCAACCAAGAAATGGTGTAAAAATAGTCATAAGAATTACTGAATCTGATAATAATTAAGCGCAGATCCCTTTCCTTCCTAGCATTTTAGAATCCTGAAAGTTTTAAACTCTAAGAACAGCTGTGTTACTTCTTCATCCCATGTTCTCTCTTAATTTGTTCTAAAATTTTTTGATTTGTTTTCATTTTATTAGTAGACTATTGCTATTTGTAGACTTTGGGAACAGCGCCTTTTTGCCTAGTGGTTGCTGTCAGTAGTCTTTTTGTTAGTTGGTTCCAAAAATCCAATTTTTTGTGAAACTCCATCATTTTCCACAAGTAGCACCTCATACTGGAGTTTCATCAGCTCCCAAGAACAAGCTGTAAAGCTGCAGTTCAATAAAGTACCTATAATGTGGTTGTCTCTAAGTCTATGTCTCTATTCATAAATAAAAAGGTCAGGATGCAATCTCTGTCTCTAAAGGGTAAATAGCACGTCACACACTGAACTACGCCTGTCATGGAGAGTGCAGTTAGTGCACAAATCAGTGCTGGTTCTTCTCCTTATACCTTAGCTGTATAAGAAGAAAAAAGTAAGTTTCAAGTACAAACCTGTCCTGTCACCACTTCCAACCAGTGGAAAAACACTAAAAAGTGCTATACAACCTCCTCTTGATGCATCTCTTATTAGCAGTAATGGGACTTGAATGAGTTCACTGCCTTTTCTTCGTATAGTCAGTGCTACATTTGTTTTATCTTACTTGTTTAGCTTTACGAGAGCAATATCTCATAAAGTAAATCTATTTTGTATGACAAGTGTAAGTATATCTTAGTTTTCTCCTTTCCAGGAAAGACTTGCTGAAGAAATTGAGAAGCTGAGATCTGAACTGGATCAGATGAAATTGAGGGCTGGTTCTTTAATCGAACCCACATTGTCAAGGTAATATTTAATGACAAAAGTTTCCTCACTTTGAGTTGAAATAGAACATAAATATGTGTCAAGCCTTTACATCAAGGATGTGTTCAGGCCACACATAAAAATATATTTCTTTAAAAATGTAAAACCTGAGCAATGATTATTATTGTTGCTTTTCACTTTTTTCATAGGTAAGCAGTGAGTATACACTGAAATATTACTGAGATTAAGGGAAAGTTTTTTAAATTATGGGATGTTTTCAAAAGTATATCTAAATACCCATTTTTTCCCAGAAGAGCTTAATAATAAAGTTGCAACCATCATCTTTAATGCTGAAACTATTCAGCATATTTATGATCATATTTATTTATTTTTTTTCTGTCAAGTACATCTAATCATTATTTTTTTATTACCAAGAAATAACTCAGCTTTTCTGAGTGTATAAGATAAGACCACAGACCTTCAGCTAAAAATGAAGGCAGTATTCAGAGAGATCTGAAAATATCATAATAGGACATTAAACATTACACCTCTTTGTGGTGGAAAAGCAATATAGGAACAATAGTGAGACAGGTGTCAGAGAAGTAGTTACCAACAGCTGAAATGAATTTATTATTCTAGACAGACAGTCCTTCTTCCCTAAAAGTAACCCTCAAAATAAAATTGTTATTTAATTATAATCGTGTGCCTGTTTTCATAACAAGCAACATGTTAACTTTTAAAACCTCCCAGCCAAAGCTCATGGACCAAGACTAAATTCAGAGCACTGTAATCCTCTAAAGTTATTCTTGTTGGATAATTGTTTTGCTTGCATCAGGTATTGTCTGCCCATTGTTTCGTCAGACATCTTGCTCAGTACCTGGATGTGGTTTCTCCCTTGATCTTTTATTATCTCTTGAAATAATATTTTTCTATACATGGACAAGTGTAAATCACTGAAGTTCAGAATGTGATGCTTGTAACTGTTCGAAGTTTTGTTCCTTTGGGAGTGAAAGTGTAACTACAGGTACACACAACACTGTTTTTTGAGAGTTCTTGCAAGAACACAGACTATTGAACTGCTGCAACAAACAGCAGAGATGTTTTTGGAGCAGCCATCCTTGGTGAACAGCAGTCTTTCTTGCTGGACAGATGAGTAGCACTAGCTTGTGCTCTGCAAATAGTCTGATTTAGTTTGATTAGCCTTTGTCAAAGGGCTGTTTGAACTTGATAAGATGTCTAAACATCTTGGGAATTCAACAGGTTCCCCCAAAACAGCATACTTCCCCTTCCATAACCTCACCTCGCGAAACTACCGGCCCTCTTGGGAGTAGGGAGGTATCAGCATTAAATGCTTATTGTTCTCAGCCCATATTCAGTTCTGTATTTGCAGGAGTTTGTCCTTTCAGCAGAAGAATAATGAAGCTGGTCGGCAGATAGGTATTTGCTGACAGAGGCTGGAACCTGGGCTGTTTCTTTTCTCCTGCCAACTTGCTGCATAAGTACCAAGTATTAGTAATTACCAGAGCAAAGTTCTATTACAGCAAATACGGTACAAACACAGAAAATAAAAACCAGTCACTGCCCTAAATGGTTTACTATATAACAGATGAGAGGGATACAGACAAATTAAACACAGAGACCCCAAAAGATTATTGTCTGGTGCTTTAGACAGAGCGCTTAGGAGATTTGTAGCCCAACTGTTGTCAAGTTGTCTTATTTGTATAATGAAAAAAGTGAGGTTTAGAGAATTTTTTAAAAGGTAAAATCATAATTTGTCTAATATTATGGAAGCTCCTACTGGGCTTGATGGGAAGCCTAAAAGAAGATAAACTGATGTTTATTCAGAAAAGGACATTTATGATAACAGTATGAGGTCTGATGTATGCTCTACCCAAAATCTAAATTCTAAAACATTATTCAGTATCTGTGACATTTTTATATATCTGATTTGATTACTATGGCACATACTCATGCTTTAGGAATTCTGGCACCTCTTTTTTTAATTTGTTTTCTTACAGTGTTTATTTTTTTGCAAAACAAACTATATTAGTGCTTGAAATCCTTCCACTATTACATTAGATTTGTCACAGTACTTGTAATACTAGAAAGTAATTGTGTTTCTTCATACCACTCTGACAAAGGAGCTTGTAGTAGAGGCTTTCAGGTTTATCATGATGTTTTTGCATTTCCCATTTATCAGTATACAGCCCTCACAATTATAATATTTTATATTTTACTTTATTAAAGTGATGTTTGAAATTTGAGACCAGTGCTTCAGTCTTCCAAGTATGAGTATGTTTTATTTCAAATTAAGTTGTTCACAAGGAAAAGTTAATCTCTATGTTTGGAAAAAGACATAGAACTTGAGCTCAGGAAAACAGTAATGCTTACAGTCTGCAGTTTTCAGCATTAAATATACATGGTTTTCTGAATTATTTCCTTTATTTTGGAAAGGTAGATATTCTCTTACTTAGCCTTTATGTCTAGGATTAAAGCCATCATTGTTTTGAACAGCATTCTTTTTGAAGTGAGATACGTGTTTAAGAACAAAAGTTGTTCCTATTCTGTTTCCCATAACTGATTATTAACATGGCTGTGAACCCTGTAAGTTGTCTGTAGGTGACTGTAAGCATTTTTCCCAAGTTTAAGAAAAAGAAGTACAACATTAAACTCTCATTTTATGCTCTTACAGATAGTGAAATGTCAAACATTTTTCAGTAGTCACTATAAACAAGTACATATATAGTTGTCTTATTGGTATACTATTTGTTACATTTCATTTTTCTACTACAATTGTACCATTCGTATATTTTGATGTGGAGATTGCTTATGGGTTAAGAAATAGGAATTGTTCAGGTCTCCACTGCTGTGGCTGAATGCTCAAATGGTGCTCCTCTGACTCGGCCACACAGCCCATGGGCAGGACGCTTTTCTTGTGTCATGTAGGGAACTTATTGCTGCTGTTTGACCAAAGACAGAAAGGCCAGGGACCATTGTATACAGCCAAGAAAAGATATGCTGAAGTCATCATGTATATGCCTCGCCACAATGTCCCAAGACTTACCAGGACTGCAGGAAAAATTGGGGGTTAAAACTCTCAAAAGCATCATCAAATAAACATGAATCATATAACTGATGTTATATATTGCAGGGCAGTTCACTAATGTTTTCATAATGCAGAGCACAGACTTACAGTATGAAATTGTTATAGATATCCTCATTCATGAACATGTTAACATGCTTACAGTAACCTCAGGCATATTTATTCAGGAAAGTAATGGAAGGAAAATATACAGGATAGTACATTCAGCAGCCAGTTCTGTTAATTATCTTGTCCTGAAATCTGCTTGGTTTTTCATATTCCGATTTTGAACAATGAGTTTTACTATGCAATTCCTTCATTTTGAAAAAATCAAATGTTCTATTCGTTTGTTTTCTTCTTTCATTTTCTTGTAATATGATTTCAAGTTTTCACTTTTAAATTATATTTTGTGCCTTGTTTTCGTCTTTTATTCTGATACTTAATAATTTGTTTAAAAAATATATCTGTGTTCCTAGACTGAAGGTCATTGGATTGTTGCTGTTGTTCGTACTATTAGTCTCTTAGTCTTCTGTGGCTCTTTTTATAGACCTCACCTTGACACATCAGCAGAGCTGAGGTATTCTGTGAGCTCACTGGTTGATAGCCAGTCTGACTATCGGTCAACTAAAGTGATAAGGCGACCTAGAAGAGGCCGGATGGGTGTACGCAGAGATGAACCAAAGGTTAATCCCCAATTTTTTCTCATATATTACCTGATAAGAGAGTGTATTTCAGGCTGTTAAGCTGACAGTTTGTGTATTTCCAGGAAAAACAACAACAACAGCAAACCCCCAACAATACACCAAAAAACCAACAAACAAAAAACCCAGATAGCAGGGTTTTTTCCTATACATACTCAGACAAGAGTACTGTTGTACTAAAATGAAGGCAGAAAAGGTTGAAGTTCAGACATCAAAGTTCAAGTACACCTGACTGTCTGTCTTTTCTGGGTATATTTTTGAGTAAATTTTCCTGGTAGTTAATTTTACATAGCATTAGAAATGATGTGAAGATACTTTACATCATCTGCCGTAATATTGCAAGTATCAATGGTGAATTAATCATTGAATAAGTATTGTTAAATGTTAGTGCCTTTCCTTTCCAATTTTATAAAATCACAGAATCACAGAACGGCAGGGGTTGGAAGGGATCCCTGGAGATCATCTAGTCCAACCCCCCTGCTAGAGCAGGATCACCTAGAGCAGGTTGCACAGGATCGTGTCCGGGCGGGTTTTGAATATCTCCAGAGAAGGAGACTCCACAACCTCACTGGGCAGCCTGTTGCAACTGCTTTGCAGTTGTTTTCCATGGACTAAGCCATGTACATCCTAATTCCTGCTCAGGTAAAATCACTTGGAGATCACGAGTGGAATAGGACTCAGCAGATTGGCGTTCTGAGCAGCCATCCATTTGAAAGCGATACTGAAATGTCCGACATCGATGACGATGATAGAGAAACGCTTTTCAGCTCCATGGACCTCCTGTCACCAAGTGGCCATTCCGATGCCCAGACTCTGGCAATGATGCTTCAGGAGCAGCTAGATGCAATCAATAAAGAAATCAGGTATGTAGCCTGTATGCAGCTGTGATGCACTTATGATTACAGCTTCAAACTTTCTTCAGTGCATGAGTTCAGGGACCATTCATAACAATTAGGAAACCACTTGCACATTTTAAAGAATTGGTAATGTGTCCACTTTTCATATGAGAGTATTGATTGTGTGAAGATAACAATGGCATCTTCATTTCCTAACCATAGAAATTTCTTTCAAAAAGTGTTCCGAGTGAAGAACTGCTGGCCAATTGAACAGAAATATGTTAGAGAAGGCTAACACAGGGCAGATATGACAGATCACTATTCACAGTCCTCTTTTCAAGGTGTTTTTCACTGTTGTGCATGAGTCCTCTTACTCACTAATGACCTCCTATCAGAAATGTTTTATTATTTCGGTGCTTTTCATGCTTTTTTCTGATAATTATTTCTGTGTTACATCTCATATAAGCCACATTTTCTAAGACATCGTTTTGATTTTCTATGGAATCACAGAATGTGATTTTTCATGCTCCACGTTGGGTTATAGTGCTTGGAAATAGGTTGTCAATTGAATGTATCTTAATAATTTCTGTGCAAATTTAATGGAGTGATAGAGAATCCAATGACATATTTTAATTGAGTTTTATAAATGAAACCATATTTTAGGCTTAAAGCATTCTTACATGCTTTTCAGGAAGGGTAACTTTTAAATACTTGGCGTATGAAAAACATCCTCTCATTAGTGACTGTTTCTTTAGAAGGAGATGAAGGAGATTACGGAATGTATTAGTGACTTTCTGGTAATGCTATAGACAGAAAGACTGTGGTTAGAAATATAATCAAAACCAGATTACCTTTTTCCAAAATCTTGGTCATTCTCTGTGCAAGGTAGCTTTAAAGGGAGAACTCTATTGGAATATATTGAATTTGAATAACTTTTCTGTTCATGGGAGAGACGTTTTATTATAGATCTACAGCTTGCATTTTCACTACTCCCAGAATTTCTTCATTCAGATAGGATTACTCTGCTATTTTCTAAAATCTCTTATTACAACTGTCAAGTTGTAGAGAGAGTCAAAGAGAAATTTTGTTGTTGGGAGGTTATATCTCCTTAAAACAGCGTATGTAAAAGAAAGAACCTTACCTATATTTTCTGTTATTACAAAGAATTCAGCACTGTGACCAATTCAGGAAGCTGTAGATGCAACAAATATATTTGTTTTAAAAGATACTAGCATTTTGACAATTTAACAATTATGTAATACAGTAAAAGGTTTTCACAAGAAGTTGTACCTGGAGGTGACATAGTAGGATATTATTTGTGCCACCCTGAATCAGACCACTCAGTGGTTTACTTAAAACAGGATATTTACTTATATGCTATGTAGCCATTTTTACTGGAGGTCCACTGAGAGTTGTTTATTTCCCCTGCTGCTAAGCTTATACTGAAGTATAGGCTTTCTTTACCATCACTGTCATTATTACAGATCCAGGCAAATAATTTTGTATTCTTTTTTTTATACGTTTCAGGAAAAATGGTTCCAGAAGGATAGTCTTATAAACTGTACTGCACTTCACATTTTCTTGGGTTTGGGAGGATTTTTTCTTGCCAAACACTACAAGGGTTTATCAAATGATTGGAGATACTGAAAGAGGTTAAAATTTATTTTGTCTTAGATTTGTTTTATTACACAAGATGATTCAGAATTTAGATTACTAAAATAAGACTTACAATTCCCTTTCAAAATATTATTTGCCTTTAAGTTCCTGCCATGAAAAAAGTGTAGACATTTTGTAGAAAATTTGAAATAGATGTCAGGGGAAAAGCACAGCATATGAATTTGTAGATTTCTATTTTCAATGTATTATGGTTTCATTTATTGTTTTGCTTCATTTCACTCAGAAAAGTCTGGTTTAGTCTCAGCCTCCCAAAACTTCTTATTCTGCCATTTAACCTTGATCCTTCATACTTTTTCCTCCTCTACACGAAAAAAAAAAGCCTGCTTTTAACACAGGTTTATGGGCAAAGGGCTTCTAAACAACTGTTTAATTTTAAACATATTCTACCATTCTAGGTGCAATCACAATTAAAATGAAAGAACCCAGTGGAAGCATCCTATTGAGGTTCTATATGCTTAAGAAATACATTTGTTGCCCACAAGAGAGCTATTTTAATGAAATTCCCTTAAAAACATAATGCTTTAGAAACAACTGTCATTTTTTCATCAATTTGCGGGGATGAAGTGGGCAAATTGTTTTGCATGTTCTCTTGGTTTATTAATATGGATTATCTCAGCAATTCCCTTCTTAAAGGCCTAGTTTCATTTGACTTTAAATTTGTGTTCATGCTTTAGCAACAGAAAATCAGATGAAGCCAACTTAAGATTGGAATTAGTTTCCTATGGTAAATCGGATTGTTAACTCCCCCTCCTCATACTGTCTCCTTTGCAAAGGAACCAATCTTCATGAAATATCAAGTCTTGTTGTTAGGCAGATTCTTCAAACAGTTTTTGAGGATAGAAGAATTAAGAAAAAGAATCTTATACTTCCAGTAATTAACAAATACACTTTTCAGTGTTATTTTGGAGTTGATCTACAATAGTCATCTTTGTTTTCTTTTATTTTCAAATCTCATTTGAAAGGCAACATTTTTTAATTTTGCTTTTGGGATATGCAGAGACAAATATAACCACGTTTTTCTCTTATTTAATAAGGTTAATCCAAGAAGAGAAAGAGTCGACAGAACTGCGTGCCGAAGAGATAGAGAACAGAGTGGCCAGCGTGAGTCTGGAAGGCTTAAATCTGGCCAGAGTCCACCCAGGTACATCCATTACGGGCTCAGTGACTGCATCATCACTTGCAAGCTCATCTCCTCCCAGCGGACACTCAACTCCTAAACTCACCCCTCGCAGTCCAGCCAGGGAGATGGACAGAATGGGAGTTATGACGCTGGTAAGAAACTTTGTGATGTCAATTTTAGGTGTGATATTTCTAGTACCAAATACTTCATCTTTTCACTGTATGAATGGCTTATGTGTCTAAATTTTTTTCACCTCTTCATCATTCATACAGATAGCAAATTCCCTAGAATATGAACGTTTGGGCGGCTTTGGTGTTTGTTACTGTGTTTTTGAGCATTGTATGATTCACCAGGGACATAATGATCTGAGGATCAAGGGCCTTCAGCACATAGGCAGTGCAATTAAGAACAAACAGAACTGATCATTGGAATTACTGTAATCAATTTATGTGTAAAAAATGGTTACTAATTAAAAGCTCTGAAGTAATACAATTATTACACAGTGGTCTGTGGGACTATTGCTGAGTTTAAACCTACAAGAAATGTCTAGAAGACATTAAAACCTTCTACTGCTTCATATATACAATCATTTGGATATACTTCTATATTTCGTATACTTTTTTATATTTGCAGAATTTTGTATGTATTCTTCATGAAAGTATATCAAGCACTTGAAAGGAATGCTTTGTTTTCCAATAATTCATTTAACTGATGTATTTCACCCCTGCAAGCAGCACACATAAACAGATACCAAGCCATCAAATTATCCTGCAAAGCGTTTCTAACATTACTGTACTTCTGAAGACATATTCTGCAATGTCTGGTTTGATCTGAAAAGGGATGTGCAAAAAAATTAATTTTGGTCCTAGACAAAAAGAAATAGTACAACAGTCAAGTAAGTGAAAAAGTAGTATGTGTCAACACATTCAAGATGAACAACTCTGATATTGATAAGAGTGCAGAGGCAGGGTACGGTGTTCAGTGTGGGCTACAAACCAGTCTGGAGCCTGGTGAATTCATCCCTTTAAGCACTAGGAGAGAATCAAAGCAGCCCACTCTGCTGTTCTCTACATACAGTGAGGAGAATAGGATATGTGTGACCCCATTTTTTTATTTGCTATTTCTCTGATAATCTGAATGTCATCAGTGTCCCCTTGTGGTCCATTCCTGGGAAGCAGCAGCACTGGTTCCCTGTGGACCCTCTTAGCAGAGGAAATGAGCTCTGATCTCACGCAGAAAGCAGAAATTAACCTTCCTAGCTGAGAAGATTGTTAAGAACAGCTGGGAGTGGAGCCTGGCTGTTCATTCTCCTCAGTTAGGAGTAGGGACTTTTGTCTACCGTCATCTAGCTGAGTAGTCTCTTTTCCTGGGAACTGACAACTACTTGTATCCACCTCTACCCCTCCCAGTTTAGGATGGTGTTTGCTGCCTTCTTGGGAACTAAAGACAGCAGAGAGGAGGTCAGGGCTGGCAGCTGTTGTAGACTGTGGAACTGATTCTTTGCTGCGCCCAGTTCCCACCACTGAACAGCAGAAATGAAAATGGTGGTGATGCAGACTGTTGTGGAGGAAGTGGGTGTGCAGGCTGCCACGGTGCCACCTACTTCACCAAAGCAGCACCTTCCTGAATATGCAGTTTGGCTTCATTTCACCAGCCATTTTAACTAAGCAATCTGGCTACAGATAAATGGTAATGGTTAAACTGACCTTCCAGCAGACAACTGCACTGCCTGGTTGGCTGGATTTGGACACAGTAGCTTTGGGTCAGTAGGTTGACCAGATTCAAATACAAAATGACAGCATAGCCTCTGCACTTCAGGTTGCCATGGCCTCACTGGCACCCAGCTGTGTCTGTGCTCAAGCTCAGACAGATATGTCTGTGTGAGTTGCAGTTGAACTCTTGACATATCATAAGCTGTAGAAGTAGCACCCTGCCTGCTCAACGGCACAGCCTGCAACTTTGATCACCCTCATCAACCATTTCAGGATACTTCTGCCCTGCACTGTTTCAGCAGTTCAGTGTTGAACATCTCCTTCTCCTTGCTGGCTGGGGACAGACACAACAGGCTATCAGACATCCTCTCAGTGGAAACTTTGAGTTGGGAAGAGCTCTGTAGAGGTCTGGTCTCTAGAGCCCAAATATTGTCAAATGATCCTGTAGGGGTTAGCTGGAGGAGCAGTATTGTATGAGTTTCCACGGCCCAGGTCCATGCAGTAAATAAATTCTGCAGAGTATCTTCAGCTTTCCTTGAATGAATGAGACATCTACCAAAAATAAAAATGAAAAGGAGGTTGAACAAGACACATTCTAGCAGCCTTCTACTGCCAAATCATCCTGCAGTACAGAAGATGGATGAATTTGTATCCACTGAACATGCCAGTCACATTAATATGGAATACCTGGACAGAAAGACCATTTTTTCAGACATGGTATTTGTTGATGATATTTTGTGTTAATACTTGGTGAGACACTAATACATTTGTAATATTAGATAAAACTAAAAAAACCAAAAACAAACAAAAAACCCAAAACAAACCTCGGTGTTGGGGTAGTGGTTTTATATGAAAACTCCAAAAATAAAAAGTGCCTCTATCATAGAATAGAATCATAGAATGGTTCAGGTTGGAAGGGACCTTAAAGATCATCTAGTTCCACACCCCCTGCCCCCACCGTAGGCAGGGACACCCTCCACTAGACCACGTTGCCCAAAGCCCCATCCAACCTGGCCTTGAACACTTCCAGGGATGGGGCCTCCACAACCTCTCTGGGCAACCTGTTCCAGTGCCTAAGCTATAAGCTTACTATAAGCTTGCGTTATCCTTGCAATATCCTATTCTTTGCTAAGCTTATGAGAACAAAAGAGATATTGTAACTTTAGAAAAAATAGCTGCTTTCCCAGAATGGCATATTTGTCAGAGGTTGTCTTATGTTATGACAGCAAGTGTATAATTAGTATATAATATGGATATTATTAAGTTAATGAAATCTTCTCTTCCCACTTCTGAATGTGAGAAGAACGAATGTACAGCATTTTGTTACACTCAGTAAGATCTATTAATCATTCTTTTTTTGTTGTTGTTGCTTTTGTTACCAATCTAAGCCAAGCGACCTAAGGAAACATCGGAGAAAGGTATGATATTGTTGGGGTTTTTTTAAGTTTGGGAGAGCACATTTATCATATTCCTCTGCTATTTACATAACCGGGTTCCTTGGCAGCTACTGCATCCTCTCCACTCCTTTTTGTTTGATTCCTGAACATTATCACTAATCCTACCCAGAAAAGCTTGCAGGGATCATAGCTAAGCCATAGAATCACAGCCCACCAGTGATACCTTGGAGTAGTAGCCTCTACAGAACAATCTTAAAGGAACACAGTTAAAAACAAAGTGTGGACAGAAAAGAACTACTTTCAAATGTATTTTGGCCATTCTTCTTGCTAGAGGAACCAGAGTCAGATTACTTGAAATCTTCTGGAGCAATATAAAGTTGTTTACAGAATTGGCACTGAATATCGGATTTGTCTTTACATGAGAGGAGATGTATTTAAGATAAATCATTATATGCTGTGGCAAAACTCCTTTTTGTTCATGCTTATTTTCAAGCATTCTGACCATTCTGTTAACAAGCCACAGAAGAGTGGTCCTGTTCATGTCTGTATTTACCTTCTCCCTTACATCCCTGAGAAACTTTACTTGAATAATTCTGTTAAATACAAGAGATCCGCTCATGTCTAAGGTTATTTTCATGTTTAGACCTTTACTAGATCAGCTTGTTTGGCATACAAGGAATGAATTTCTTCCCCAACTGTAATCTTTTTTCTTTCAAATATGTACTTTAAGCTGCTATATTTAAGCAATTGCTTTTTCCCAATAGTCTCTTTCAAAAATAATTCTTAAAATTTGCTCAAAAAATTGCACTTGAATCCATACGTGCTTCAGTTCACTTGACAAATTCATGCAGCATATGTTGAAATTTTCTTGAAAAGCTAATCTGCTCTCACGGAGTCTCTGTCCCCAGATTGCAGTAGTTGAAGAAGATGGGCGTGAAGATAAAGCCACAATCAAATGTGAAACTTCTCCTCCTCCAACACCAAGAGCCATCAGAATGACTCATACCCTTCCTTCTTCATACCACAATGATGCCAGAAGGTAAGATATTTGTAACACGTACTTCACTATTTTACCACATATTATTCTTTTCAAATCGTGTTGTTTTTTAACTATTCCAAAATGACCTGATTTCTTCATGTTTCTAAATCATTTAAGGAAGAAGATGGGATTGTTTCACTTGTGGGGAGATTATTACTGTAGTATAACCAATAATTTGTTTGCAGAGCTGCTCAGAAGAAAATAAAAAATTACCTGCAAATGTTGATATGATATCTATTCAGTTTCTTTATTATCATTTTGTAGTAGTTTGCCTGCTTCACTGGAGCCAGAAAGTATTGGTCTTGGCAGTGTCAATAGCAGCCAGGACTCCCTGCACAAAGCTCCCAAGAAGAAAGGAATCAAGTCTTCGATAGGACGTTTGTTTGGTAAAAAAGAGAAGGCTCGACTTGGACAGCTCAGTAAGGAATTAGTGGTAACAAACCAAGATCACCATTTCACAGTCATTTTTCCATTTTTAATTTTGCTTCTGTTCAGTTTTCAATTTGCTTTTTTGTTTTTCTTTAGTCTGGCAGAACCTTCCCATTAAACTTTATTGCTATCAGCAATTATATTTGTCAGGAGTTTGCTATGACTATAATGCAAATGAAAGGAGACTTCTGGCACAAATTACTAGAGTCATCCTCTTGACTGAACCTACTGCTTCAATACTCTCTTGAATTAGGGTAAAAGTGGTAACAGTGTATTCTCAAATAATCAAAGTAAAGAAGAGATGAGAAAGTAGTAAGTAATAAACATCTATAAGGGGTGTAACTATGTTATATGGAAGGTCCTTGCAAGTAAAAGGAGTTGCTTTTCAGATTTCATTGTCTCAATAGAGGTCTGCTAGTACCTGTCAGTGAATGTCACCATAGCCTTTCGATTAGCTATGCTGCTCACAGCAATGCTTTGTTTTCTTCCTACTTAAGCCCTTTTCCCTTGCCAAGACTTTAGTCTAATTCATTCCTAGTAAAAATTTTCCTCTGTGATATTCCGTAGGATATGCCTATACCACATGCAAAAAAAAACCCCAGTCATAGCATAATTTTATTTAACCACCTTAAGGTAGCAGAAGCAATGGAAGGTGAAGCGATGGTCTTCAGCAAAGGCTTATAGTCTGCATGTGCAGATGGGCAAATACATCCCTAGTCTATATTGCTAGGCTATCTGGTTTAGCTAGGTTAAAATTAGCATATATACACATGCCAACACAAGCATCAAATTGGTATAGATATGTCAGTAAAATAGAAATACTAGCTCTTTCCTAGTCACGAAGATGTCACATAGTACGAATTTGTGAGGCACTAAATTTTTACTTCCATGGTGACCACATAACACTTGTAAAACAATTTTAAGAGTTTGCAGTAACTATAAACACTTAAGCAATATATAAGCCTGAAAATAAAAAACTAAATTCGTATCAAAGCATGTCCTTATTGCAACTAACAAACCCACCACTAAAATTGTACAGAATAAAATATAGTAATATTAAGGTCAAAGTATCAGAGTAAAATCAAATAACTGAGCATTCTCCATTTATGCTCCAACCTTTCTCCTCTCTGCCAGAGAGAACTTTATGTTCTTGGAAAAAAAACACCCTAATTTCTAATTGTAATTTAAATTCCCTTTTTTCTCACTATAGGAAGAATAAAACTGATTTATTCAGTCTTTTTCATAGTTTAATGTATTTCAGAATCTATTAAATGAGTCTCTCAAATACACCTGCATGTCACCATCTGCACTGATGGAGAATTTTATAACTTTAGACTGCATTATTAATTCACATTTACATTCCATAAAACCAATTTTATTGATACTGATGGATTATGCATAATAATCTATGATTTCACAGAAACTCAGGAACATAGAGGACAAAGATGTAATAAATGTGTTGGTCTTCCCTGTGGTTCCTTGCAGTGTGGAACAAAAATAAAATAACAACTTTGAAGATTGTCTCAGGACCAATGTAATCTGGCAATAGCTTAATTTCTTAATAATACTCAACATGATTAATAAGACATATATATAATTGGATAAAGCCTATTTGTAATTCCCAACACTAGCTCATGAAATTGCAAAAAGATGTTAGTGAAGATTTGCAATTAAATGAAATTTTTGTGGCTTCCATCCTTTAGCTCAAGAGCAAAGATTTCAGTATAATGTACATTTTAATTAAGCAAACTAGGTTTACAAGCATGTATAAAATTATCAGTAGGATTGTTAACTGACAAAAAAGTAGGAGCAAAATATTTTTAGAAATTAAGACAACATTGAGCAGCTGAATTACAGAGTAGTTTTTATCATCTTAATTTTTTAAGATACCAAAAGAAAAAAAAAAAAAAATTGAGTGTCAGTTTCCATTCAATGGCAGTACTTTAAAGACAAAATAAAATTTTAAAAAATAGCAATCGTGGTAGTACTCGAATCAATTCTGTGACAGGTATACTATCTGTGCAGCTATATAGTTAATAATTCTATTTATAGTAAGATACTATATCACAGAAATCTAGATAATAAGTCCTATCATCACTGCATTGCAATATATTTGTATGGTTTTCATAACCTAAATTTATAATGCAAAATCAATAAAAGAATCTCATTTAATTCCTTGCTTAAATTAAACATTCTAATTATGTGTGTATATATATCTCCTTCTTATATTTTTGAATAAGGAAAATACCTTTTCTCAATAGCATTTCAAATACTGAAGAGGTAATAAACCTAATTTTGAGCCTCAGAAACATTAAGTTGTTTTCTTATATGCATATTTGCACATGCACACAATTATGCTTGACGGAGTACTTTAAAAGTTCATGTCAATGGAGAGGATGTTAGGGATCCCAGTGATATACATTGTAAGTAAACATAATACTTCTGTAACTAATTCTATAGTATCTCTAAAATCACATGTAATATATACTCATATTTAAGAAGCAATACTGGAACCTCCAAAGTTTTATCACTAACTTCAACAGAGCCAGGCAACCACCCAAAAGATTTCTTTGCTCTGCATTCCCTGCAAAACTCTGAAATCATTAGTTTTCACTGCTAAACTTGCCAGACTTTTGTGATTTTGTAATTTGCTACTTTTACAACCTCTGCTAAACCATTTGTGTTATTGTTCAAAAGCAAATTAATGCTTTAGGAGATCTTTCTTGGAATCAAGATTCAAGATTTCTAGATTCTTCAAGATTTCTTTTAATTATTGGAGAAGGGAAAATGAATGTTACAGGGACCATGAGTGCCTTTTTTTTCTTTTGTATCTGTTTGTTTGTTTGATGTTGAACTCATCCAGCCTTCTCTCACTTGGAGAAATGCCACACTAGACACTTCCCATGTTACATTTTAAATATTCTAGTCCCTAAAACAAAGAATGCATTACAGTGATTTTCCCTGCCCAGGCAAGCTGATCTGGATGATGTATGCAAGGTCAGCTTGTTAGGCAGCATTTATCGTAGCCATCTACATGCCTAAATACCGACAGGCACAATCACTACGTCCAGTACAACGTACCCTGGGTTACTCGAAGGGCCAGAAGTGTTTTACTTGTGGTGAAGTCCATTACGCCAAGAATACTGTCCAATCTGTGATAAACCCTCGTGGCGCTGCACTCGTGCCATCTCTATCTAACATACTGCGAGCCGCTCTCTCAGAAACGTGTGAGATATTGCTACAGCAGCTTGCTAAATTAAAAACTTACTTCACAGTCAGTGAGAAACGTGAGGTATATGTTCACGTTTTCGGCATTTGTGATTGGAGGCATCATTCTCATCATGAGATTTGCAGAAGTAATGTCCTCTTTAATAAAGAAAATTTCTGTCTAGAGAAGCAGGAGTGTTAAGACTACAGCTGCTTTGAAAGGGCAGCTTAAAACCAGGCTTTTCTAAGTTAACATCATACATGTGATACAGCAGAAGGTTTCGATCTCACTTGATTGAGGTGCATGTAAATGTGACTTGTAAAAGGCTGTGATGCTATTTCACTATATAACATTTACGCATTATTTTATGGTTAGAATCAATGAATCAGAACAGTAATCTTTTCATCTATACTATGCTTTCTTAATTATACCAACGTCCACTCTACAATTGTTCACTAGCCATTACCTGAGAAATAAGAAGTTGCCATTGCCAAAAGGAGTCAAGCACCAACATTTACCGTACTGTTGTCTTCCTTCTTGTACCAGTTACACACCTTCTGAATAGCAACACATGAGGAAAGCAGCCTTCGAAGAAGTGCTGCAGCCTCTCTGTCTGCACACATACATGTGCGAACGAGAGGGCAGCGTGGAGCCAGAGCCAGGAGACTGTACTGACAGCTCTGTGAGCAGGTCCCTTCTTCCTTGAATCCAGGCAGCGATAAACAAGTCAGAGCATCTTTCCACTTCTGCACCGGGAAAGTCACGTTAGCTGACTTATTGTATGATCAGCATGGATCATACAATACCATTCATGTCCTTAGTTTATAATATGATTTTATTTTGGTCCGGGTGTCCTGGCTTACTGCAAACTTCCCTTGTCACTCTATGCAAGTTATGCAAATTCCCATGACTTTGACAGGAATTAGGTGCCTACAAGGCACCTCCAGGGAGACCTAGGAGGCTTTTTACTTTTCTGACAGAGTCTTTCTGTCATCTCTGGCTTGGGATTTTGCAGGGATAATGACAACAAAAGCTCTGAGACTATAAGAGCAAAATGAAGACTTTAGTATTACAACATTAAGTGATGCTGTATTATGTCAGTGAGACAGTTCTTGAGATGGCACTTTCATTTGTACACTTCCCAAATAAGCTTAAAAAATGGTGAGGGCATTGCTTACTTAAGACCATGAGACTGAACCTTAGAAGGCAAAGAAAAGCAGGCAAAGGAGGTCAGGGTGCTCTTCTCATGTATTTCTGCTAAAGACAAGGAGGAGGAACCAATTTTTCCCTCTACTTGTACTCTTTTCCATGTAGTAAACACTTGCCCAAATTCACTTCCGTAGGTGATAGATGTTCTCCAAAACACCAAATGTCATGGCTTAAGGAAACAAACACAGATGATGGTGGTGGGTGGGAGGGGGATGGAAGGGTTGAGAGGGGGAACAACTGGGCAAGAGCTATGGGAAAATACACAGGGGCTTGGTTTGGTTTGTTTTCCAGGAGGTTACATGGAAACAGAGGCAGCAGCTCAGGAATCTCTGGGATTAGGCAAACTTGGAACCCAAGCAGAAAAGGACCGAAGACTAAAGAAAAAGTGAGTACCTTTTTCACGTGACTTTCATTGGCTGAAACTTGATTAAAATGTCAGGTTTTGTGTTGGTTTTACGCAGACATGTAATGAGAAGCAAGACCATCTACTATGGCGGTTTACCACTTAGCGTGTTTTTTTCCACTGTAAAAGTTTTTAAAGCTGCATATAAAATATAGGGGAAAATCTGTCAATTGTACAGTAGTGTTTCATTTGTGAAAGAAAATAGGTGTATGAGAAAGAGACATTTTCTACTTCACATTGCCGTTAATTCCATGCCGTTTGCCTTCTGTGCAATTCTTAAAAACAGGCAGGCACTTAATGACTCACTACATAGATTTTTCAGAAGGGAAAAAAAAAGATTTTTTGCATTATCTATTGAACACATGATTGTTTCTGTCTATAGAAGTCAAAGGCTCCCCATAAACCCTAGCAGCTTCACTTTCTTTTTGCCTGTCAGCAAATGGCAACCTAGCTTTTTGCTCGCATAAATTATATAATCATTTCATGCTGTCTTTGGTGCATCTCCTTGTAAAACCAGTACACTGATTCATAGCAGCTGCCAGGAGCTAAGAAGAACTGTTAAAATAAAGCTACGAACACAAAAGAAACCTCTTGGCAGCATCGCAGTTCCAGGGTAATTAGAGGGTGTCAGAGAAAAAAGATGGTACTTAAAAATGACTTTGCAAATTCATTCTGTAAACAAACAGGTTTATTTTTCATCCATAACCATTAACTTTAGTGCTATTATTCACATTCCGAAAGCCTCATTTTTAAAATTTGTAGGGTTTTCATGTTTCTTTCAGTCTTTTAATATTCCTTTGCAAAGTTTCAAGAGAATTTGCAATTGTAATCCAAATAATCAAATGATAATATTTCAGCTTCTCTTTAAATTTATATGTAGAATATTTTAAGTCACTATTTCCATATCAAGCATATCAAGAAATATAACTTTCAATGTACACATGCATGTAATGTACAAATGAAAGTGTGCCATTTAAATCAGCCTGAGTTTAGCAAAGATAGAGAAGCAGTCATTGTGCTAGCTGAGAGAGAAGAAACATTTTAAATTCAATTAAGAAACTCACAATAATTTTTACAGGGGTATTGCAGTTGATGAGTCTTGTCCCTGTATTTCTTATCTATACATTTTTTCACTCATTAGTCATTTAGAAAATTACGGATGAAAAAACATATTACTGTGCTATTTCACTAAATCTAGAAAGCAGTTTTGAGAGCATCATTACCATTTGTGAAGAATATCATTGAATTTTCAGCAACCAATTTTTTGCAGTCCCTATTTATCTTCCAGCTCTGAGGACTGGAGGTACCACAGTATTGAAATCACTTTGAAGGGATGAGTGTGTTCACTTCGTTCATTTTCTCATGTTAGTTCCTTAAAGTGGATGAAATAACATAGGACTTGACACATACTACTGCATACATGACATGACTACTTCATGTATGACACTGGCTACCAAGTTTTGGGTCTGGAAATAGCAGGCGTAGAGGTATTCTGTTATTAGACTTCCATCTAATCGCACACAATTAGACTTTTTCACGCTTTCTGCTTTTCAAGTCTTTCCTTTTTCCCTCCTGTGTCTGTCTGCCTTTGATTCTTTATGGATTAGATCTAATCCAAATGTTCTCTGGTGGAAGGAATCTTTCCTTTGTGGCTATGATTATTCATCTAGTTTGAACTGTATACTATTTATCCTAAGTATATGTTATATACCTATGTCATGAAAACTTTAAATTTCTTCCCCTGTTCCTTCAGATTTGTCTGCTTTCATAGCTTCTCACACTGGAATCCTTACAACTGCTTTTAAGATTCATCTTAAGCTACTATCAGAGAAAAGTTAACATACATTGCTAGTTTATATATATATATGATGTAGTTCTAGAGGAACTTTAATGTGGGAAAAATGTAACATGTATACATTATCTCATGTATATGATAGTATTAGGATGCCAACGTATCAATAGGGTGTAACAGAATTAACATTTCCTTGTAAAAAATGCAGTCAGGGATTTGCATCTTACCTTGGGAAGTATGAAGTTGAAAAAGTCCAGAAAGTAATTTAAATAAAAAGTTTGTCTCAGTAGGTCAGATTCCTTTCTGACAACACTTAACAACGCATAAATCCCTCTGGAAGTAGAGTCTTCAAATACACGCAGTAGCTGCAAGTTTGCTGATCCGGGTAGTGCAAATCAGAATACTATTCTGTGTAAAATTAAGGACGATAGTAATGTGTAAGAGGTCTTTATAAAAGGTATTAAGAGAAGTCTGAGAATCATTTGCTATCTTGTGATGTAGCAGTAAGATTTAAGGCCAAGCGTTTGATTCCTTTTTACTGCTAATCAGGCCCTACAAACCCTGCAGAGACAGCGAGCCCTGGCTCTGGAACAGAGCGAGCAGAGCCCTTCACCTTGTGAGGATTTCTATGGCTAGTGTCGATTAGGACAGAAAACCCCAAGAGAACCAGGTCCACCAGAAGGATAATTAGAGGATAGGCTAAAGCATGAAGCAGTCCTTTGTATTATGTTTCAGGTCTTGGAGAGCTTTCTTTATGCTAGCTTTGTCACTTCCTTAGGAAAAAAAAAAAAAAGAAAAAACAACCAAAAAAACCTCAAAACAGTGATCCCTGAGCCAATTCCCTTTTCTATAAAGCAGGCATAATACCACCTACTGAACTTGTGTTTCTCTTTTACACACATAAGTCAAGTGAAGTGGCTTTTGGCCCTCTTAATAGCTCAGAGAACTTCTTTTTCAGTTCAATGGCAGTTCTGGTGCAGGAAAGCAAGGGTTCTCCCCTTGACATGAAACCAGATGTCTGATTCATCACTGTGATCAACACATTCTCACAGTACTCATTAACCTCACCAGAGTTTGCAATTAGCTTTGCATTAGTAAATTAAAATTGGATTGAAGATATTATAAAAGGACAAATCCCTGTTAAAATGTTATCCATGGTATGCCTTTCCGTTGAATAAATCTCTTAAGTGAAAAATACCTTAAAAAGCTAAAATTCTAAATTTGCATTTTTTAATGTATTCAAGTAATATCAGTAATATTCAAGTAATATCAAGTAATATCAATATTACATCAGCAATTCAGCAAGGATGCCCCTACCCCAGGGATGAAGAAGCACGATGTTTCAAATTGTCAGCTGCTGCAGCCCGTAGGTACTGATGGTCCACCAGCTGTCCTGGCCACCTGCTCCCTGAGTAGCAAGCACGTGCATTGGCCTTGCTCTGGCAACGTGCAGGGCCGTGTTACGCTATTTTAGAGCAATTTACATGCACAGAATAGACTAGTGAATAATACATTTCAGTCTGAAAAGTTTCAGGGGGGAATATGATAATTCTGGAGACCAATTCTCTCTCTGGTGATTATAGTGTCATTAACCTAAATTTCAAAGTTTTCCTGCTTCTTGCTTAGAAGATGCTATTTAGATGTAAAATTTCTTTCAGTTTCAATAGACTACTTAGACATCATTAAAATGTAATTAACAGTTTGTCTCAATGATATGCCAGACATTTATAAACCTCAAACGAGAGTCTCTATTCATCCAACATTTGGTTATTACAGATTTATTAGGAACAAGTCTTTCTCCTAAGGCATCAGAGATATTAAGGAAGCTGTGTAGAATATTTTAATTAGACCCAACATGTTCCTAAAATCATCTGAAAAGATGAACTTCAGTTGCCTGATTCATCCATAGATGTTTATTCTCAGACATTAAATATGACAGCTCTAGTTAATATTAAAACTTTTTAAGTTTTACTATTTGTAAATTGAGCATGCAGTCCTAGAGAACAAAAAATGAATGTCAGTAGTGTTTAGAATGTTTAGGGTGTTATCCATTATTTGGTGAAAATAAGTGATGTTGGGATATGACAAAGAATAATGCACTGCCTTTTTATTATTTAAACTAGCCTTTATATTCCACTTCACTTGTTCCATACAAAAGCTGTTAATATTTTGTATATAATGTCTTCTGCCTTTGTCTGACTCTCAGAGCCTATTTGCCTAATGAGTAACTTCTTCAAGAAACCTCAGATTTTAGGACTAAAACCACTGATTAATGGCGCTGATACTGTCTATGTCAGCATTACATTCATTTGAGTCCACAAATGCTTCAAATAATTTGCACTCATTTAAATAAAAAATTTATTTGGATAAGATACACTTTCCAGAAGGCACCCATCACTGAAATGAGAATGGAGATTTTTCTCTTAGTAGTTTTTTTTTTTTAGTGAATAGTCAGTCTCCCTGTGAAAAATGGTTACCTAATTTCCAGTTCTGAATTTTGTAGGTACCTTTTCTCTGTGACTGTGTATACACTATCCCAGCTGCTCATAGAGATCATCCTTCATGGATGTTTTTGCACCAAATAATATGACGGTGCACAATAACTTGGCATTCATTCAGGGTTGTCACGATAGCCCAAGCTAGGACCCAGCGTAGGAAGTTTCGGGTACCCAGGTTTCTACCACAACTCATAAAAGTTCGCGGAGGGTTCAGATACAGGCATAGTGTCCTCTGGCGCAGCAGCAGGTGGTCAGCATGTGTCCCACAAGACAATTCATACCTCAGAAAAGGAGCAGATAACACTGTGCCTAAAATTAAATGATCTGCATCCACCTTAAAAACATATCCCCACTGACCTCATCTCAGGTAGCAAAGTAAGGCACTTAACAGAAGCTCTTTAAATGTTTCCCTGTCCTTTTCACTAAAAAAAAAGAAAAAAAAAAAAAGATGAACCCTTTATAAAAATATTCTTTAACAATGAACTCAGCCAAACTTAAAATATTATCAACAAATAGAGCCATGTTTACTTCCCTTTTTGCTATAACTGTCCTAGTGAACATCAATTGCATTCTCCTTGTCCACAGTTTTGCTCAGGAGTGATGTCAAATCATCCTTACCCAAAGCCTCACTGGTGGCAAATACCACTCTAAAGAGTCTTGCTTTGTCTTTTAAAGTGCAGTGTAGCTCTGTG